GATTTATTACAAGATCAAGCAAGTTGGCTATACCAGTAGTAGATGATATGCGAGTTGGAGATTGAACTCATTGTATCATGTTGTAGGTCTCTAAAATCTCATTAAGTCTTGAATTGCAGGTTATTGAAGTAGTACCTGGACAGTTAAAGTCACCACACAGAAGTATTTCTCCAGATAATGTTTGAAGTTCCTCTAGGAGTTCAGATAATTCGAAAAGAAAAATGTTTGTTGGAATGATTAGATTTGATCAATAAATAGCAACAATATTGTAGATAGTATTTGCCAGATTTAGTTTAGCTGATGTACGTTCATAAGACAGACAGGTAGATGATAATGAGAGTGGCTTGATATTTAAGTTGTCTCTATATATTATTGCAACGCCTCCTCCACAATGGTCTGATCGGCAGTATTGAATTGTTTTAGAGCCTGGTGGGGTCATATCTTCTTTAATTGCAGTTGGGTCGTCCGACTTTATCCAAATTTCAGTGAGTATAAAAATATCTAGAGAATGATTTTGAATATCATGAATGATAGCAGATTTTTTCATGGCAGATTGAACATTTTGGATATCCAAGTTTAATACAGAGGTTCTTTTAATTTTTATATGTAAATTATGTTGATTTAATTTCGATCCATTTGAGTTCATCTGATCGTATACTCCAATAATATTTTTTTCCATTGTGCACATTGTATCGTTGCCTCCCATTTGTTCCCTCAACCTCTTGAGCAAGTGCTGCATTTCTAGTATTTCTAACTTTTCTGAGTTCACTTTCGAACAATCTCTCATTTGCTGTTTTGTCTTTATTAATAAAAATATTTTTGAAGTTAATACTGTCCTTTAATTTTTTGGAATTTTTAATTATAAAATTTTGAGTTTCTTTGATCTCCAATTCAACTAAGATAAGGTCAGGTGGTCCTTCTGGTCTTTTAGCATTTATAGTTAGTCAAATTATTATTTTTGCATTTGTTATTGAAAAATCTGGTTTAATTGCTTTTAGTATTGTTTCAATGGTTTGTTTATCATTTTCTTCATTAACTTGTTTGTCTAAAGTAGTATGATCAGCAACTCCTCTTATAACGAGGTTGTTTTCAATTCTTTTTTTGTTATTAAACTCGTTTGTAATTTTTGCCATCATTACCACTTCAGTTTCTTTTGGTTTTAATTGATTTTTCTGAATTGATGTTGCTTGTGCATATGTGAATATTGTTGTTGGTTTATTTGTTGTTGCTGTTAAGTTATTTATCTTTTCATCTTCAAGAATTTTAAGTCGTTTTAAAAAGTCTAAAACAATATATGATATTTTGCCACACCATTTATGCATGTTTTTGGTAACTTCATCAGATGCACTTGGAATTGTTGGCCAATTTGGTTCTTCTAAGCATTCATAGTCGAATTCCATGTTTTTTTTTTAATTTTATTTTTTCAAATATATGAGAGAGCTACCACACTAAATAACAGTGGATTACCTCCTGATGTCTTCTTATTAACACATATACTTATTACACAGGGACTAAAAAGTTACAAGTTACAACATATATATATATGCATATATATATATAATATATATATTATATATATATATATATATATATATATATATATATATATATATATATATATATATATATATATATATATATATATATAATATATATATATATATATATATATATATATAAACGTATGTATCATGGCCTACTTTATATAAATTAATACAAACATATATAACAAATATGAGTATATATATATATACATATATGTATATATATATATATATATATATATATATATATATAGATATATATATATATATATATATATATATTTATATATGTATGTATCATGGCCTACTTTATACATTGTTGGATATGTTGCTTAAATAGGCCAAAAATTAGAAGGCCAATTTTTTTGCATATCGGCTATTTGTCACACTGTTAGTTAATATTGTTTTGTTTTTTTTAATTTGGGAAGATAGTGATTGTAATGGTGAATAAATGTGCAGTTATTAATTGTCAAACAAACAAAATTTAAAAAAAGTGAATCTAGTTCTCTTTTTGCAAGTAATGTTATTTTTATTTTCCCTAAAGATACTAATTTAGAAGAAATTTGGATAAAATTTATTAACAGAAAAAATTGAGTATTTGTTTGAATCATTTTAAATAAAGTATTTAAAGTATGGGAAATGAGTTACTTTAAGACATGAATTAAACCCGTTTCCAACCATTTATTCTGATGAAATTTGCATTCCATCTTCAATAAAGCCTAAATACTTTCGAAAACATCTAACTGAACAAGATTTCACTATTCCAGATGAAATTTCAAGAAATTTCATCTGGAATATTCAATAAAATTTCATTTCAAGAAATGGATAAAATAAAAAATATTGATATGCTTCATGAATATAACTCTCCAAATGGGTTTAGTTTTCAAAGATATGAAAAATTTGTTTTATACTATCGTTTATTTTTTGTAGACTCCACTCCTTTTATTTAATCAATAAGCATTGATAACAATTTGCATGTAAAGTTGCATTATACAAGTTGTCCACTACCTTTTTCTCAATGGTTTAGAACAAATAACAATTGTAAGCTTACAAGTTTTTCGTTTTGAATAATTTGGTGTCTTATATGCACAACTTTGTTGAAAAGAATTGTTATTGTTTAGTTGAATTTTAGTTGAAATTTAATGAACTTTCCAAATTAGTCTTTTACAAATCCAAATGTTATCCTCCATATTCTTCTGAAGTATTATGTTTTGCACTGATGCAAAGGTATTCATCATCTCAGGCTTATTTGCTTCTTTTGAAACATCTTCCTTTACCATCAATGTCACTATTGAAAAAGTTGCGTCTGACTTTTTTTTTTTTGTTCAATAAAATCATTAAAACTATTATTAAATGAGTGAAAAATTGATTGACATTGATTGACATTGATTGACATTGATTGACATTGATTGACATTGATTGACATTGATTGACATTGATTGACATTGATTGACATTGATTGACAATGATTGACATTGATTGACATTGATTGACAATGATTGCATTTTCCTTATTGATAAAATGTATTTACAGCAGTCTTGTGAACTGTTAGATTATTTAGACAAGATACTGAGGGTAATCTCTACAAAGGAAGAGTTGTGTTTATGATCATTGGTCTCAAAAAATCAAACCATTATAATTTATGTAATTAAAGCTATTACAGCGACTAGTGTCACTGGAGATTTTAGTAATGATGAAGATGGTTAAATATATTAAGGTCTGCTGCTTTTAACATTGGTTCATTGATTGCTGATAACCATCCAGTTAATGTGTCAGCTTATTTAAAATGCTCAGCATTTATGGATCAAATAAACCAGAAGAAAATTTCTTTATCACTTATAAAGATCATATAACTTATTTGTCGTATGATATTTGCTTAAAAACATAAGAAATAATTACTCCAAAAAGTTTATTTTTCCACCATTCCAGTTCACTGATTACAATTTTAGTAAAAATGAAACTCTTTCAGCAAACTTAAGAAAATCATCAAAACTAGGAGAAAAAACGTTATATCCAGGCAACAATAAACAAGATGTCAACCTAGCATTAAATATATTACATGAAACAACTGCAGCAGCAATTTAATGTTATTTTCCTATGAATATTCAGCATCTGAATTTTTAAAACTCATGAATTTATGGTGAGTAATATCCAATTTTAAAATGAAGTACTCTAATCATAAATTTAATAATGTATCTGTAATGGAGGATGGTAAGCAACAATATTTGTGTGCATTTGCTCACTGGTTTGAACAGTGGCAAATTTTTTGCAATTGCAATAAAATTTCACTCATAGGTATTGTCTCACTTACTCAGACTTCTAAATTGTAACATTGCAAAGTACTTCTAGTTTAATTGAAGATATTTTATTTGAAGGATACAGTTATGCTCTTACCTCTTGTTTCCAGAGTTATCCATTAGAACATTTTTCAAAGTACCTTCAAATGAGTGGTGGTAGGTTTCTTGTTAGTTACACGAAGTAAATACTTCTGAGAATATTTTGCAAATAAGATCATTATTAAAAGAAAACTTTGACTTTTGGAAAATGGATTTAAAACCTTTTAACTCAGTTGTGAATTTAAACTCATTATCGGAACTTTTTATTAATGATATTCAGGAATGTGAGTTAGATAAAAACAGTAAAGAAGTTTCTATTTTTATTAATAGATATATATGCAGAAAATCACTTTTTTTAAAAGGTTAAATGTGAATCATATTCTTTGTTTCTAAAAAGTGATATCATTAATTTAAATAGAGAATATATTGACTACTAACCACAGGATGTCTCATACCTCCCTCAAAATTACTGGCAAATCATGTTATAAATGTTTTAATATGCTTGATGAAGTGAAAAAAAGTTTATTTAGTTTCGATGTACTTGACATAAGAAAAGTTTGCAAATATATTTAATATGAATATAATTTGAATCAATGCTTTGTTTGTGAGGATCATTTAGAATGGGCCTTTCTCTTGTTAAACAAACTATAAATATTTTTTTAAATAATTTTAAGTAATGGAAAACGTAAAGGTGCTGTATTATCTTTTAAAAGTAGACAAAGGGAAAAAAAAATTAAGATATGTAGTTCATGTGTATATATATATATATATGTAGTTTATATATATATTTAGTTTATGTATATATATATATATATATATATATATATATATATATATATATATATATATATATATATATATATATATATATATATATATATATATATATATATATATATATATATGTATGTATGTAGTTTATGATTATATGCAGTTTATGTCTGTATATATACAGAGTTTATGTTTTATTATCTATCTATCTATATATATATATATATATATATATATATATATATATATATATATATATATATATATATATATATATATATATATATAATGTTGTAACTTGTAACTTGTCGTTAATGTTAAAACTATAAAAATAGTTTTTTTTTTTAAGATTTGTAAAGAGTCTGAACCTACTACAATTATGGTTGATGGTGCTAATGGCGTGGGTGCACCAAAGATTTTAGAAATGATGAAGTATTTAGATGGTACTCTTCAAATACAACTATACAATGATAAAACAGATGATGTTCTTGCTCTTAATAAAGATGTAAAGATATTTTAAATTAATAAGTTTGATTTATTAAAATAAATAGATAATCATTTTATTACTGCAATTATAATTTGTTTAGTGTGGTGCTGACTATGTAAAAACTCACCAAAATGCACCTAAAGGTATTTTAGATTTTTTTCATGAATTTAATGTTTATATATATACATATATATACATATATATATATATATATATATATATATATATATATATATATATATATATATATATATATATATATATATATATATATATATATATATATATATATATATATATATATATATATATATATATATATATATATATATATATATATATATATATATATATATATATATATATATATATATATATATATAAATATATATATATATATATATATATATATGCATATATATATATAATATATATATATATATAATATATATATATATATATGTATATATATATATATATATATATATATATATATATATATATATATATATATATATATATATATATATATATATATATATATATATCCTTATAGTGTAGATGAAAGAGACTTTTAATGTAAAAAAAGTCTCTTTCGACTTCAATTTTGCTACCTTGACAATTAAGTTACATTTTATTGTTGTCGAAATGTCAAAGCAGTTAAAATAATGCGGAAGTACATTAAGTTTTGTTTTTTAAAAAAGCCGCAATTATAATGACTAGAAAGTTTTTTTTAATTAATGGTGTTTTTCTTGTTGTTTTATTAAAAAATACTTTTAAAACAAGAGCAGAGAGATATATTTTTAAAACATGTTGCTACATCGACTATCTTATAACCTGCTGCTACAAGGGAGTGTTGCTACATCAACTATCTTATAGCCTGACTCGCAACGGAGTGTTGCTACACCGACTATATTATAGCCTGACTCGCAATGGAGTGCTGCTACTTCGGCTGACAAATAGCCTGACTCGCAAGGGAGTGCTGCTACATCGACTGAGGGTTTGGTTTAGGCAGGCAGTCTATCATTTAAGAAAAAAAAAATTATTTATATATATTATATATAATTATTTATATATATATATATATGTGTATATATATATATATATATATATATATATATATATATATATATATATATATATATATTTATATATATATATATATATATATATATATATATATATATATATATATATATATATATATATATATATATATATATATATGTATATATATATATATATATATATATATATGTGTATATATATATATATATATATATATATATATACACATATATATATATATATATATATATATATATATATATGTATATATATATGTATATATATATATATATATATATATATATATATATATGTGTGTGTATATATATATATATATATATATATATATATATATATATATATATATATATATATATATATTATATATATATATATATATATATATATATATATATATATATATATATATATATATATATATATATATATATATATATATATATATATATATATATATATATATATATATATATATAATCTTGAAAGACTATATATATATATATACATATATATATATATATGCACACATATCTATCTAAAATATAGAGATATACATTTTCCATGCAAAAATGCAGAATATTAAAACAATCTTACTGATGTCCAAACCAAACCCTCAATCAATGTAACAGCAACTCCCTTGCATGTTCTCCCTAAATCAGTAAATACCAGTAAATATGATGTGTGTGTTTATATTTATGATGTTATATATGTATGTATATTTTGGTGTTACATATGTATGTATATATTTTAGTTTGTATAAATGGATCTAATCTGCTTTGAAAACACTTAATTATGCTAACTATAATTAGTGAATTATTTTTTTTCAAAATTTTATTTTGCTCAAACTTAGTTTAAATTTCAATTCAAAATTTGAAAACAAACAGCAAAAGTTTTCTTTCTAGCTGCAGTGTGGCCACAGATTATTTAATTACTATATTATTACTAATAATATATATGTTAGGTTTTAAACCTAATGACTAAATAATTTGGTTATTAAATAAACTAAATAATTTGGTTAATAACTAAAAACTTTGATCAGAAATCTGCTTAATTATTGTTTACAACACCCTAAAATTATTACTTAAATAATTTCATAATTAATTTATTATTGAAGTTCAGGTACAGCAATTGTATTATTCAAATTTGTTGTTGATTTATTTATGATAAACTCGTACATTCAACATTCATCTAAAAGACAATATTTTTTGTGGTTAAGGCGCTCTTACGGTCTATTACGGTATATTAAAGCTTTCTTAATTTGACATTTAATTTCTTGTCATTTTGGAATAATAACTCATAAAAAGTAGTTTTAAAAGTTGATGAAATTCCCAGTTAAACATTTATGAACTAGATTACAAACTTTTTTTATCAGTAAAAAGATTGCTTTAGGTTGTATATCTTTTTCATTGAAATTGGATTATGAGCTCTGTTCTCTAAGGATTTAACCTTTTGAACTTGAGCTTTAGAGACTGAGATATAACACAATAAGTTAGTAGTGGTATTACAGTTGAGTAGACAGTTAAAGATGCTTTCAAAGTTAAATGTGGCATTTAATGATTTATTAATCTTAGACAAGAAAAGGTTATTTTGTATGCTCTGTTAGAGCTTTCATTTAAATTCAAAGTGGAGTCTTAAAAAATTCCATAATACACTGCAGAATGCATTCTTTGAATTTTGTATATGAATTTATGCTTACTAAGTTTATTTACTTTATTTAAAGTTCTAAAAATCATACTATTAGTTTTTCCCTCTTTCAAGTTCATTATTAAATCATTGTTATTATTCAATTAAGTTAAATGCTCCTCCACAGTGCTCTTATCACAGAGCACTGTGGAGGAGCATTTAACTTAATTGAATATTATATTTTGTTTGTTTATTTATTCGTTTTTATTTAAAAATTTTTAAATTTAGCTGGTTTACTGCCCTCTTTCAAGTTCATTATTAAATCATTGTTACCAAAATAAAGAGATGTAGAATTTATTAAATCACTAGGATCCATAATTAGCCCTGGGTCCCATGTTATTTTAAGTTCCAACAATGACTTCGATAAATTAAACATTTAATCACTAGGAAAAAAATTTGCAATAAAATATATTCAATACCTATTGCATTTTGAATAAACCAGCTAAATTTAAAAATTTTTAAATAAAAACGAATAAATAAACAAACAAAATATAGTATTTAATTAAGTTAAATGCTCCTCCACAGTGCTCTGTGATAAGAGCACTGTGGAGGAGCATTTAACTTAATTGAATAATAACAATGATTTAATAATGAACTTGAAAGAGGGAAAAACTAATAGTATGATTTTTAGAACTTTAAATAAAGTAAATAAACTTAGTAAGCATAAATTCATATACAAAATTCAAAGAATGCATTCTGCAGTGTATTATGGAATTTTTTAAGACTCCACTTTGAATTTAAATGAAAGCTCTAACAGAGCATACAAAATAACCTTTTCTTGTCTAAGATTAATGAATCATTAAATGCCACATTTAACTTTGAAAGCATCTTTAACTGTCTACTCAACTGTAATACCACTACTAACTTATTGTATTATATCTCAGTCTCTAAAGCTCAAGTTCAAAAGGTTAAATCCTTAGAGAACAGAGCTCATAGCATTGTCAACTAATCCAATTTCAATGAAAAAGATATACAACCTAAAGCAATCTTTTTACTGATAAAAAAAGTTTGTAATCTAGTTCATAAATGTTTAACTGGGAATTTCATCAACTTTTAAAACTACTTTTTATGAGTTATTATTCCAAAACGACAAGAAATTAAATGTCAAATTAAGAAAGCTTTAATATATAAGAAATATTAAAATATGTAAAAAACTGTTTTTACAACACAAAAGCAAAAGTAATAAACAATTTATCAAAACATTTAAAAGATATAAGCAATTTTAAAGATTTTAAAAAGGCATTTTAAACTTTATTTTTAAGATTTTTAATTTTTTAGTTTTCACTTTCTCTAGATTTAGATTTTAATGCTTTATGTAACTAGATAGGTTACACAAAAAAATGTCTTTTAGGTGAGCCCCAAACATCACTTTCCCAATATTATTCTGAATTGGTACGGAAAATATATTTTACATTAATGCTTAAAAAAAAACTATGCAGTTGTTAGAAACTTTACAGTAGTTAATGGAATCAGCCTGAGAACCATTAAACTGTGTTTTAGAGCTGTATCCTCATTAGAAGGTAATAGAAGCAGTTGTAACATGGAGGTACTATCGAATACAAATAAGTAGAGTCAAGAAGATCCAGAATTCATCATCCTAGGCAGTAAACAATTTAGCACTAGTTTACAGGTTTACTGTTTAAGATGAGTTTTTTTATTAAGAAACTTAGCTTTTACTTAACTGAATGCCCTAAGAGTTAACTTCTCTTAGTTATTTACTAAAAAAGCAGGCTCTAGAAGTCAGAGAGACACAGAACAGGTTGTACTTGATGACATGGTCATCATGCTACTGGCATGGTGATCATGATGATCCTGAACCTGATCTGACCTAAAGTATTTAAAAGAAATTCTGCTAAACATACTCTAATACATTGCAAGAGAATTTGAACATATGAATGTGAACACCCTGCTAGAGGTTCAGACAGAACACTAACATACCCATATAGCAACATATGGGTAAGCTGACACAGCTTTAACTAAAACATTTTTAACTATATAATAGATAAAAATAGATATTATGTTAGATATAATATGAGCTACAATGCTGTTTTTTAATATCTTGGGGCTTTTTTCAGCATCATGTTTATTTAATTTCTTGAAGCTCATTCATAAATTATTCATCCAACCCTTATCTATTTATGTACGTAAATAGATAAGGGATAATTAGATAAATAGATGTATAATTGATGGCTAATTATTGAATATATAAATAGATGTATAGCAATTTGTGATTTAAATGCTGAAAAAAGTTTGAAAACTAAATTCCTATGCAAGTTGAATAATATTATTATTAATTTGATGCATGTTTTTATAAACATAATTATTTTTGAAACAGGTTTAGATATGATTATGAAAATTTTTTAAGAGGCTTACAAACATGCATAAACTTACAAAAACGTGGGCTTTTTTTTATGTTTTGTAAGAAAGACAAAAAAACTTTCTTCTGTTCTGCACTAAAATAAACAACAGCTTCATTAAAAAAATTTTAAGTTACTTTTTAAATTATTAATTAAATGATAACCTCATTTTCGTGCATCAAATAAGAACGAGAATTTGTTATTAATAGAATTGTGCTCATATTACACAAAACATAAAGTAAGGCTTAACAATATACATGTCATTTGCTTATTTTATTTTTAACAAAATCTGAACCTTGATACGTTTATAAGCATTATACTTATTATAAAAAACATGCAAAGCAACTTTTTAATTTATTAACAGCAACTTAAGTCGCTGTTAATCAATTAAAAAGATAAGTTTATTTACTCAGTTTTGGTCAAATGTTTTTTAAATTTTTGAGATGTTGAAATGGATAAATGAATGTATGTTATATAATTTAATATTTCATAGTATTTTCTAAAATGGGTTGTCTTTGCAAGAAAGACACAAATACAGGAGAAAATAGAAATATTCAGACTAATCTCAAAACTGTTTCTTCTAAAGTATCTTGTCAAACAATTCCCCATGAATCAGCTCCTTAACATTGAAAATATACTTAGATATATACAAATTGTTAAAACTCCGAGATCTTTAAAGTTTAAATCTACTAAGCCTGTTGTAGCTTGTTCTCAAATTTCTCCAGGCAAAAATCTTACCTGCAAGAGTGGATTATGCAAAGATCCCAACCATAGATGCGTCACTGCTCTTGTAATTAATGTTTAGAACAAGGCTGGTTTTCGAGAACTTGTCATTTCCAGAGCTACTGTCAAGGAAAAAAAATGCAATTTTTAATTATGTAGATAAAAAACAAGCAACACAGCAAAAAAAAAAAAAAAAAAATACAAGCATGAATAAAAAAAAGTAACCAACACATAGGAAGTTAATTAACTTAAGAAATAGTTTTCATATTATTTTTGTTTTCATATTATTAAGGGAAAATTTTGAAGCTCCATAATAAGTATTGCAAATTCTTTAAGAAATCTAAACTGGGATTCCAGCATTGGTAGGTTTACCAAGATGCAAAAAGACTTCATAAAAGAGAGTAACAAACTCTATGACATACCTGTGGGAAAGTTTAAGGAGAAGATCTAGTTAAATTGGCTTTTAGGAGGCATGTTGTAACACCATTGCTTCCAATACTGGAGTATTTATTGGAACTATTTTCACAAATTTTCTCAACATTCCTTTTTTTTAGTTTCTCTGCAGGCAACACATGTTGAGGTTACACATCTCTCATTTTATGGAAGCTCTTATTGGTAAAAAAATAAAAGGGCGCCTGAGAGCACAATATCTAAGACTGCAGAAAACCTGGCCAAGCATAAAATAATAGGTGGACAAGGTGGAGAAGATTATCAGGTTTAGTTGGAATGGGCTACAGGTTGGATAATCCCTGTAAAATATTTTAAGAGAGGCCTTAGAGTTTTGGGAGACAGCATTGACCACAAGAACATTTAACAAGGGAGGGGGGGGGGGGAACTACAAGAAGCTTTGTGAACTATTTGTCTTCTATTTAGGAGGCAATATACCAGGGTTTCATATTTATCAACTTGGAGCCTGTCATGAACTCAGGTATAGTTAAAAAATATTATCAGTAATTTTTATTTTTAGTGGAGAGTACATTTTCGATCATTTTTATATATTTAATAATGATAAATTATTCTTAATATTTGGGAAATTAATTATGGGAAATTTATGGGAAATGCTCTATACCTGCTGACTGCGGATGACTGAGAAGGTAATCCAAGTATTGAATGAGGAAGAGAAGATGGTTAAGACAGCGGCATTATTTGTTTCTATATGCTATGGACCCTGGTTCTTAAAAGCCTATATGGTAAACAAGTTGGTAAAAGATTACTACTAATTACTTTTCTCGATGGGTAACTACATCTGCCTAAATAAATGCATTATTAAATAAAATAAATTTCCGGACGTAGTTACATCCAATAAAAATCACATGTGTAACTACATCTGGTTAAAATAATGAATTATTAAAAATTTTTTTTTTTCAGATGTAGTTACATGCAAAAAATCTACATATGTAGTTGCACAGATGTTATTATGCATCAATGAAATTTGGGATGTTGTTGGACAGATGTAATTATACATCAATGAAATTTGGGATGTTGTTGCACGGATGTTATTATACATCGA